CTTTTATCATGCTACTTCTAATCACAAGCTTTCACCCTTTCCATGATCATAATCAGCTTGTCATTAAACATATATAATATAATTGTTTTTTATTATTTAAAATCCATACTTCATAATTTTGATGAGGAAAATCTTGTCTCCTATCTGAAAAGTTTTGAACTAAGTGTCATTACCTTCTAATAGCTATTTTTATTAACTTAATAAATATGATGGGCAAACACTAACAGAGACAAACCTTCTGCGCATAAACTCCCTCTCATGTGCTCAGGTGAATACTGCCTTCGATAGTCTTCGGCGTGTGGTTCCAAAAGGGCACGTAACTGAGTGCCAACGTCTCAGCAAAATAGCCACTCTACGTCTTGCCATTCAGTATATTCGCGCAATGCACCGTCTCCTTGGAATGACAGTGCCATTACAATCAGCTCTTCATCGACGCGAAATTCTTATTCATCAGCCTTATCAAGAGCATCAACAACAAAATTTGCTCGGATACTCTCTACAAACCTGTCAAAGCCAACGAGGCCTGTCAATGGGGCCTTATAATCAACCCAGCGAGTTTACTGTTTCATCAGAGGAGCTCCAGAAGCAGATTTTTTTAGACACACCCATTATAGAGCAGACACTTAGTTATTCAACCTCCGCAAATGGAATTGACCTACCCAGTAACAATCATTGCTATTTGATAGACAGAGAAGGGAAGTCATCTCTCTCCCAACCTATTGCAGCCAGAGTGATGAAATCAGATCAGGAGGAGATTTCTATATTGGCCTATGAGCAAATTGAGGCTGCTCAGCAAGCAGAATCTCGAGTCAGACACCAAAATTCTACTCAAAATTCAGTTCACCGAGAGCTTGCATTAGGAACGGGAGAACAGAGAAGACACGCTGATAGCGAACATGTTTTGGCAAATTGGTCTGTCCGTGACTACAGATTAGGCAGGAATGGGAGAGAGAATGTTACTACGCAACAGACGAGGGCTGGTACAGCGAAGACCTCGAAGAAAGTATTCGTGGGAAGACAATGTCCTACGGGCAGTGTTTGGATAATGAAGGAAAGAAAAAGAAAAGAAAATAGAGACGAGGTTGAAGTCTGTGAGGAAGTGAGAAATGAGGAGGTAGAGGCGTGGAAAGGAAATGGGAAGGAGATTGGGGGGTGTGGATCAAGAAATGAAGAATATGATGAGACAGAAGAGGCCGATTGCAAAAGTCTTTTGCTTTTAACTGCAGGAGGCAGGTTGGATTGGCCAACTCTGAGGGACATTTATTCCAGCACATGTTCCTCCTCCAGAATTCAGCATGACATTGATAAGGAGCATGTGAAAGGCAAGTCTGTTCCAAAGCCTATAATTGCATTGATATCTAATAAGTTAAGGAATAGTTGTCGTGAAAGATACGTTTGATTTTGGTTTAGACAGCTTTTTTATCTGGATGGGTTTCTTTGATAACTTTAAATGCCTTTTTCTCTTGATCACGGAGAAAAGTATCCCGATTTTTTTATTTATATAACTTAGTAATTTTACCTGAATATTTGTAAATTATCTAAAAACATCGACAGATCTTGACAGGTAAAGTATATAGTAACTTGGTAAAGTCTTGAAGTAATAGTTTATAATCTAATCACTCCAAAGCCCTCCTATATTTTTGGAGATTAGGCAAGTAGTGTTAAAGAAGCCTGCAGTTTAATAGCCAAACTTTGTGATTGCCCAAACGAAAAGAGATTTACGCCATCATCCTGGCAAGAGGTATATGGACAACATTTGTTGGTGTAGCATTCGACAAATCTTGATGACAAG